GACATCATATCATTATCAAAACTATTTATACAGTGTCGATTAAACACACACTCATTAGGCTGAGTCTCTAAGTGAATGCTTTGAAAGTTTAGATTTGTCAGAAGCAAACTGTTCTTCTTCCTCCCGTTAATATATATTTCATTAGTGTCTGACCATGCAGGCTGCTGAGTAATCTGCCTTTTATCTAGCACAGTCACATCACTTTGTGCCTTCTGTCAGTGCAGAGCATTGTGTTTTAATAGTTCTCATATCAAGGCAGAGATCTCAGCACCTTGCAGAAAACCATTCCAGCACATTTGCAATGCAGACAGTAGATTCAATTTAGATATCTAATTACAAGGAAACATACTTGCATTAATCTTAAACATGGAAATCTCTAACTTTTGAAATCCTCAGTACAGTTACAGGGGGTTTTGCTGTGTTTTCAAGAACAAAAAAGAATTTAAAAAGTGTTGTTTCTGCCAATGCTTTCATTGCGAAAAGAGCAAATTATCAGCAAATAAGCACCAAAATGACCCATGGAATCTATACAAAAGCTGAAACTTCTAAAAATAAGGAACAATTGCACAAAAAAAAAAAGGAGTATCAAGAAAGGCAAATATTCTTGCTCTGCCCCAGCTGTTTCCTGTCTGATGGAATGCCCATGTTGCAGCACAAAACAAAATCCACTCCAAAAATGATGTAGCAAGTCCAGGAAGAGCTTTACTTCACAAGGAAATACCTCTTACAAAAAGTGCCATTTTCTCTGGACACCTGTTACATTTATTTTCTCTCTTGACTCACACAGACATTTTTAGGAGGAGGATTTACCAGGCAAGGTAAGCACTGTGCCATCCTGTATTTAGGCACATGATCCACTGTCTCGAGGTTTTATGCTTCAGATATGGACTGTAGTGAACCTTTGGTCAGCTCTGTAATTGAAAGTTGTTCTTACTTTGATGATTTTGAAGTTGTGGGGCTTTTTTTTTTCTTTTCATTGTGCAGGAGGGACTTAAAAGAAGAATGTTATTTATCTGGGGATATACTCTACATTGGCCTCCACTTCACTAAGATTTAGGCATTCCTTTTTCAAATTTTTAGTGTCTGATGAGTGCTGAAAACAAATCACTTCAGGGGAACTTGTGACTGAAAAGGCAACTAGATGTTCCTGAAGTTACACAAGCTGGAGTGGGAAGTGCTGCATGACGTTGGGCCAGCTTTCCAAAGTAATTTTTATGGCTGAAGAGGGAAAAAGGCTCTCCTAAAAAAATCCACATGATGCAGATTAAGCACTTGTTACCTGTTAATTTTAACTAACAGTTAAGCACCTGGTAAGGGTTTTGAGTGACCTTCAGCAGCTTGAGTGCCTACCTGTTTCTTTGGTCTCCAAAATAGTTTTGGAAATACAGTCCAAAACAGATGCTACCATGCTGGGAACTGGGAACAGAAATGGAATTTTGTGTAATGGGACACTTCAAATTGTACATATGTTGAAAAAAATCATTTTTCTGAAATAATTCCGCTTCTGTGTTTGGAAGATGTTTGCCTTGTGTTCAATTACACAATAGTGACAAAGAAAGTTCCTCATGACAATTTGGAGTTTTTTGGTCCTTAAGGAGGTGGAACCAGACTGTTCACAGACTATTTTGCTAAGGAACTCTGATGTTCTACATATCTTCTGTTTTGCTTGATAGGGAATGAGTCATCTGTTTCTGCATCATTTAGGACAGTGTGAAATCCAGTTTGCAGCTCTTGTTTGTCTAGCTCCTAAGTCAGCCCCCGTGTCTGGGATTGGTTAAAGCTGATCTCAGGCGAAGTTGGTATAATGTGTCACTGTTGCAGTGTTGTTAAAGTCTGTTCTGTGCTTTTGGCTGTTTTTTAGGTATAATAGGTCTAAAACTGTGAATTAATTCTGAGTAATTTGTGAGCAGCTCTTAGGAACTGAGAAAATATCTGTGTTTATAGCTGATATAATGGAATATATGTGTTGGAATAAAGGAGTCGTGATGACTAGCTTTCCAGCTAGTGCACTTTGAGACTGTAAGTTGCCCTTAAGGATTGTTCTGAGTGATTATTTGCCTCTGATGAGCACAGGCATCAGTGATAAAATGGGAAGGACTGACTGAATTACAGTCAACTACACTGTCGTACCTAGAAGTGTTTGGAGGAGCTACTTGGTAATGCGTTTGAGTAAGTTCTATGCTGCATTGCTGTTAATGTATATAAAATGGCATTTTTATCTCCTTTTCTTCTACAAAAATAAGCATGGAAATGTCAGCATCAAGAATGGTAGCTTCTTTCTTGACAGGGTGAGTCATTTCACACAGAGGTAGTACTGAATTGTCAACTTCTACATGCCCTTAACATGCTCAGCTGGAGAGAAGTGTTGGAAATGGTAATGGTTATGGATAAGAGGCATCAGTGTTTTGGTATGACAATATAAATTGAATCATGCTGATTGAGAATTAGAGAAGGGGAGCAACAAACTACTGTGAGTGTTGTTGCACTTGATTGCATGTTACATTTCAGTGAACTCTCCCCATATGCTCTGGTTCTGAGCCCAACCAAATCGTAATGGTGACTGTATGGCACTGTAAACACCTCTTTGTAGTAAGTCCACTCACTCACACTAGAGAAAAATGTGGTGGGATCACTAGGATGGAGAGGAACTTTTCAGTTTAAGTGTGAACTCAAATTTCAGTCCAATTTTGCATTAGCTGTTTCTTACTTTTTCTGGCATTTCAACTCTGCACTTCTGTACTGCTGCTTTGTCTCGCTGAAAGGGGAGGGGAAACAAAGGCCAGTCAAACAGTTATAGGAAAACTCTGAAAGTGAGTCTGCAATATTGCTAAAAGCATTTTTAAGGACTGCACATCTTTGCAGTGTACTGCTGATAATCATGTTCTGTGTATTTCTGCACATGCACAAACAAGATCTAAATGTTAGCTACTCTATAATGCTTATGGACCCATAAATAGCTGCTCATGCTTCTGCTCCAATCTGGAACTGTCAAACAGCTGAACATTTAAATAAAATATTTGAAATTTGAAATGCTTTTGTCACAATATTGACCTTTTAATTTGCTCAGCTTTAGAATAGTGGCACAGCATGAGACAAATGGTCTCTTGTTATGCAAAGAATGGAAGAGTCAATAATCACAGAGCATTTCCTAGCCTTCTTTCCTTCACTCCTTTAATAAGAATGTCACCCTTGAAAGAGGGAACTTTATTTTGCCTCCATGGTGCAGAAACCTAATTGTGAGCAGTCCTGTGGAAGGGTTTGGGAAGAACTGAAATGCCATTCTGCTTCAGGGTTCAGTGTGGATACTTATTATTAGCTATTAATATAGAGAAAGTGCTTGCCCTAATAAAACACACAGCACGAAGGGACTCTCTTTTTGTGTACACTTTTGCTAGACAAGAGTAAATTATTAAAATAAACATTTGCTTTGAGGTTAAAAAACCTCCTTAAGATAGAAATAGAAATAGCTGTCACACATAGGTAGTATTCCCAGACAACTGTGCCACTAGTTGGGGATGAAAGGATGAATAGCTGTGAATCTGTGATTACAGATGAGGCTGTCCAAAAAGAGAATATAATACAATATGATACAATAACAGGAGGGTTTATTGAAGTTGTAATAGAGAATTCTTACTTTTTACTGTCAACTTAAGTTTCATATAGTAGAGTCAACTAAATGATAGACATTGATGAAAGTGGATATATCTAGTGGAGCACATAATTTATGCCATACTAGACCATTAGCCTCTACTGCTTAGTCCCATAGGAGATTCTTTAGGAACCTGTTTTCTCACCTTGAGTTTTCTGGATTGAGCTTCATATCAAGACTGGATTTAACCTTTAGAAATGGTGAAATGCCCCTTTTTGCCTTTCCAGTCACACTGCTGCTGTCGGCACTGGCCTTTCCTTACAAAAAAGATGTCCATTATCTGGATGTAATGCAGTTGTGCAGAAATAGAGTTGGCATTGGCAAACTATAGCTGAAATTCTGTGGAAGATCAAGAAAATCAATCTGAAGTTTGATTCCTGAAGTACTGAGCAAATCTGGATATGAATTCACTGTGAAGGTCTTGGTTACTAAGTAGTTCTAAATCAGGGAGGAAGTTCCAGGAGTTCTGAAATCAGTTCTCATCAAGGAGGCTGATGTTTGTCAAGTAATTGTTGAACATTATCCATTCAGTAAGCAGCTATTTTATGAAGGAAGTTTTAAATGACATTTTATGATAACAAGTTGTTAAACCTTCATGGGAACAGCATGGTTAATTTTATACACCTTAATTGGAAAGCATCATCGTGGAAGCAATGAATGAACACAATTTCCTCTTCCAAGGAAAAGGGTTGCTGCAGCAGAGATAAGAGGTTACAATTGCAGTGACAAGCAATTGGGATGATTTGAAGTTAATGTATTAAAAGTTAAATGTTTCTGAAGTTTCTGTATTTTCCAGCCATGAACTGTGGCAGTACTTTGTGAGTTTGCCTTTTCTCCATAATTAGCAGCAGGTTCCATTGCTTCTGGTTGATAAGCCATTAGTTATTAGTACAGTGCTAAATTTGCCCTTGTACCAAATGACCCAAAGGGGAAAAGCTGTCTGTTTGATTACAATAATAATAGCTTTTAACAATTGGATTTACTTAGCTAGATGTTAATTGATCCACTTACAACCTCCTGCAAAAAGAGTTTGTGAGTGTTACACAAGACTGCAGAGAGCTGCAGGCAAAAATCAGAAGACAGCTGGTGAATTAAGGGTTATGAACTGCCAAGTTCTTTTGAAGGAAAACTACATTTAAAAAAAGGTCTCAATCAGTGATGACCATTAAAGAGAATTCTGCAAAGTTTGACTGTGGATAGTGATGTGAACAATCATGATTACATAGTTACTTATTTTCCATTGTTCTCTTGCTTTCCTTGGGGCTGAAGTGTGGAGAGATATCTGGAGGATGTCCATGATAATGAAATCAGTGATTAGAAACTTGAAGGCAAGAATGATGCTACACACATATTTATAGTGTTTAGTATCTTTAATTGGCATTTCTAAAAATATTTTATTTGCAGTTATTTTTAAAATATTATTTCTTAAAAATATTTTATTCTAGCCATACAGTTCTAGAGTGATCATTTCTGTGTTTGCTCCTGTCACTGATGATGTTCAGTACTAGCATTTGGAGGTTTGGTGGGAAGTCTGTAAATTCTACTGTTCTTCACTTCTGTATCAGCTGGATGTTCACTGTACCTTCTTAAAGACCTGCTTACACGTGACTCCACACACTCTTATTTCCTAGGAAGAGAAAACAATTAAAAATACAACTTTTACATAGGACACATGCGTAACAGATTCATGTGTATGTTCAGCTTCACTTAAATCCACAATTTTCTATGAGGTTAGATTGGGAGGCTTGTACATATTTTAGCCAATTTTTCACCCTGAAAGAAACCATCTGGTTTGGGTTTGTTTTCTGGCAAAAAGTGAAGTAAGAGAAGTGATTTGGGGATCTCCGATCTTAAAGGGCCAAATATGTTCCTGGTGCATTATTCTCTATTTGCAGCATATGCAGCTGCCCAAGTGTTTGCACTGGACATTCTCTAGTTTGGACACATAAAGTAGTGGAGATGGATTTGACTAACCAGTTTGGAATCTGTTATGTTGATGACTGGTAGGTCAAACCTATAAAACCAGAAACCAGCTGAAAGCTCACTCTAGCAACAGGAATCATGTCTGCAAAAGGACACAGAGCTGTGTACAGAAGATGTGATCTAAGCCTATAAAACAGCAAAGCATTGAGGTCTCACTGAACCTGACCATGCTGGCTGCCTAACGCTCTACTGTTCCTTTGTGTTCCATAAGAGCTTTTCAAAAATCTCCACCTGCTAGTCAGTGGCTCACTGTGAACTGGGCATAAACAGGTGCAATGATGTTTATGTCTTGGGCTCTGATTTTTGAGGCCTGATGCTGCTTACCTAACCCCACTGAGCATGTGGTTTAACCTTCACCAGTACTCAGACTGTTTCAGTTAGAGCTGAGAAGTGCACACAGGCATGTGTGGATGTGTTAACTGGATTTGCTGGATGAAGAAAAAGGGGTGGAAATTCTTAAGGGACATAAAGACAAAGGTTATACATGACCTAGCAGAGAGGATGGACTTTCCAGTTCATGATGAGACTTTTAATAAAGCTGCAGGAATGGGATGGGGGACTTTGATAAAATGACATTAAAAAACCTTACACTAAGTCAACCTTATTGGCATATGTTGCTAGATCCCAATAAGAAAAGTGCTTCATGATGAGTTGGTGAAACAAGCAGAGCAATACACTGATTTTAGTTAGGACCTGTTTTGTTCACTATAGTATAGGTAACCCAGAAGAAGGAGTGTGCAATAAGGGCTAAGAGATCTGCTGACAGTGAGAAAATCCTACAGAGCAGAAGCAATCAATACAATAGAAAAGGGCAATAAAACTCGAAAGGAAATGGGGAATGGTCAAATAAGTCACTCACGTAAAATAAAATCTAAGGAGGAAAAAGAACTAAAAGGTACAGACCAGAGAATGAAATGAAGAAAACAGGAAGAGATAAACTACTAGAGGATGTGGTACCACTCTCTATAGGACTATGGAAAGAATTAAATTAACACTTGGTTCAGTGTGTCAAGTTCAATAGGATCATAAAGCTATCGAAGTATCAATTTTTTAGAGGTAACTGCTCATTGTATCAAAGCACTCTCAAAAATACAGGAACTAGTAATCTTAGCTGGTCAAAAATAAGCTACTAAATGGGACTCTTTACTGTATGCTTAATGGAGAGAGTTACAGTAACAAGGATTCAGGGAAATAAAGAGGACACCTTTTGAAGTTCACAAAATATGTAAGTGATAAAACTGAAATATTGGGGAGTGGACTCTAAAATACTTTGTTACTTCCTTTGCATGAATAATTTTGTACTGACTTCTGTGTCCATGGGAGACAGATTGTGAATAACTGTACCAGTGCCAGTGAGTGCATGGATGGCTGCATGATCTTGCAGGTATGGCACAGAACTCTTCACAGACTTCTGTAAAGCAGCCTCAGATCAGTCAGGTTACCTTGGCGTACCTAAAGTGGCACTAGATGTATATTTGAGCAACTGAATCTGCTTTTCTGACTTCTAAAATCAGGCTCTTGGCAGGGTCAAATATAGAATGTGGTCTGGGCTGGAGGTCCATGGCCAGGTTGTGTGGCTTGAGCATGAATCAGAGAAAGGATATCAAACCCTAGTGTTGGGGACAGGAGACGGGAAGAGAGAATGACTGCAGAGCTGGTGAGGGACAGAAACCAGGATGCCAATACAGAGAAATCCAAGAGCAACTAGTGCTATTGTTTCCTGTCTGTGCAGATGATGCATGTAAGTGTATGATTGAGTGCAGCCAGGTACAAGTTGAACTCCTAGGCCAGACATTGTAATGGGTAACTGCAACCTGTTTGCCAGCAGAGAATCTGAAAGGCTGATGCTTGCTGTCCTGGCACTAACTGTTGTGAAGCTGGGAGGCAGTGTGGAAATACTGCAAAGATTTCATAACTCTGTTGCTGATTTGAGCATTTATTAGACTGCTGAATGCTAATAGTTCTGAACAGTGAACAGAAATGGAGGTGGGATTTGATCATCTCAG